TGAGGCTCTGCAATAGGTGCTGCTGCGCGCTCTAGGTAGAGCTCTGCCTTTGCCTCAGCCCCGGCCCCTACCCCTGGTAGTGGCTGCAACCTGGGGCTCCAGCTCGTGGTCCACTATGGTGTGTCCTCACCATCTGTGAGAGAACAAGAATAGAATAATTCAAACTCCATGATAGAATAAAATCGCACGATAGAGAAGGAAAGAAGTGAAATTTTCCTAAAGCCCTATAGTCTCTAGAAGATAAGTACAGACGTTTCCGTACCGGTCCTCTAGACTCTACTAAGCTTTCTCATGACTCGTGAGACCTAGGCAACCTAGTGCTCTGATACCAACTCGTCACGATCCGAAATCCCCACTAGGGGACCGTGATGGCGCCTAACATCCACTTGCTAAGCAAGCCAACATTAGTACACAATTAATCATTTTAAATCCAATTTGAAAGTAGTTTAATAAGAAATAAAGCTGTAGAAATTCAAAATAGATATAATAACTCCAACGCTGACTAATCTAATCCCGAAGTCTGGTGTCACAAGTACGTGAGCATACTAAAAGTGCTACAACCAAATCTCCAAATAAAAATACAACTGTTTGAAAGAAATAAATAGTAAAACAAGATAAGGAAGGGGCCTTCAGGGGCTGCGATCGCCGTGCAACTATACCTCAAGGCTCCGTGAAAAGCTAATTCGAGCGAGCCTCCACTAACTACTGCTAGGACGAACACCAGAATCTGCACAATAAGTGCAGAAGTGTAGCATGTATTATCGACCATATGCACTATGTAAGTGTCGAGCCTAACCTCGACGAAGTAGTGACGAGGCTATAACAAGTCACTCAGTATAAACTTGTACGAATATAAATGAAATAATAGCAGAAATAGGGGAAAGCAAGAATTTAACATGAAATAACTAAAAACACATAATAGAGGGCCCCAGAATAACAATTATGCTCAACTTCTCAATTCAACGCTGATATAGTAACAACAGTTAAACACAGTAAAATATGACTTCTCCGTTGCGGTGCGTAACCCGATCCATAATTATATATAAATAGCAAATCTTTTCTGTTACTGTGTGCAATCCGACCCACAAATATATATATATATATATATATATATATATATATATATATATATATATATACACACACACACACACACTCAATTCCAAACAGTAATACCAATATCCTTTGCGGCGTGCAATTTGATCCCATACAATAATACCAATAACCATTGTGGCGTACAACCTGATCTCGCTCAATAATAATATAACTGAACATATACAATCAATTACGGCGCAACTCAAATAAAACGCAATAAAAGAATTACATACTTAAAGACATAAAGCGATAGAAGTAGCTATCTAATAACACACAAGGTCAAAAAGCAAGTAAAGAAGTCAATAAAGAAAGACACTGATACATGGAAACAATTAGAAATTAAGGTATGTTACAAATAAAGGCATGAATTTTACAAGTAAAGCATTTAACAAGTAATAACATGGATTAAACGAATGCGTGAAATACTTGAAAATAATAAATAAATATTCCAACCCACATGCTTAACCCGGGACTACGTATATACACTCGTCACCTTGTATATACGCCGTCCCCATACATGAATCAAATAGCAAATAATCCATTCAAGTCCAAGGTTAACCACGACACTTACCTCTTCCTGCAACAAAATCAGTGATCAACCATGCTTTTTCCTTTAGAATTAGCCTCCAAACTAATAAAATCTAGCCAAATATAGTTCAAATAATTCAAAATAAGCTTTAGAAACTACCCACGAGTGAAAAAGATTCAATCTTTAATGAAATTAGAAAAAGTCAACAAAAGTCAACCCCGGACCCGCTTGGTCAAAACCCGAGATTCGAACCAAAACTCGATTACCCATTCACCCTCGAGCCTGGTTATGTGATTTATTTCGTAATTCGACCTTAATTAGAGGTCTAAATCTCAATTTTGCAAAATCCCTAATTTCTACCCTAAAACCCCTAATTTCTACTATGAAATTCATAGATTAAGGTTAAAAATTAATAGGTGATTATGGAAATACATCAAAACTAGTTAAAAATCACTAACCAATGAAGTTGTGATGAAAATCTCCTCAAAATCCTCTCTAGTCTGAGCTCTAGCTTTCAAAAATGGTGAAGAATGACCAATTCCTGACTTTCAGCTTTTAAATAGCTGGGCGTCAGGTGTTCTTCGCGTTCGCGAAGCACCTGACGCGTTCGCGAAGAGCACTGGCCAATTGGCCTTCGCGTTCACGAGGTCCGCATTGCGTTCGCGAAAGCTTATTCCCCAGTATGCCTTCGCGTTCCATCCCCAGGTTCGCATTCGCGATGAAGACCATCCTGCTTCCCTATCCTCTCCCCAAAGCAACACGTTCGTGAGTGGTCCATCGCGTTCACGAAGGGTAATCCCCCCAATGCTTCGGGATCGCAAAGGGTAATCCCCCCAGTGCTCCGCGTTCGTGACCTATCTCTCTTGTTCGCAAAGAGTAGCCAGCCCTAGCCTAAATTTTTCCCTTCGCGATCGCGTAGTACTATACACCAAAAGAAAAACCAGCACTCATCTATGTCCAAAAATGGTCCGAGACCAATTTGAAATATGCACATAAATGTAATAACATCATATAAACTTGCTTGCTACCTCAAATCATCAAAATAACATCAAATAACAATAATTGATCATCAAAACTCAAGATTTCAACTTGGAAACTCATTTTTATAATTTTTCACAAAATGCATCGAAACTCACTCGAGTCATCCCGCACCCCAACCAAACATGCGTACAAGTCCAAAAATATCATACTAACGTACCAGAATTGTCAAAACACCGATCCAAGGTCGTTTACCAAGAATGTTGACCGTGGTCAACTCAAGTTGTGTTTAAAGCCAAAAATCATATTTTCTTTAAAATTTCACGTAACATGCAAGTCATATAACATCTAATAAAGCTATGAGAGGTCTCGGAACACGAAAATAAGGTCTAATACTCAAAACAACCTATCAAGTCATTACAACAATACTGATACAATTATCAATATACGTGATACAAACTGCAATACATTTTTTAAAAATTATGATACAGTTGTGATATTCATCCTCTTCAAGTTTCAATCACAACTGTAACCTTAAAATATGATATAATATTGTATTAGTATTGTATCAAGCATTGTTTTAGGTATTGATGTATCAGATACAAGTAACGTACAATTTTGATAAAATTGTGACAAAATTCTAAAACAATTGTGATAAATTTATCATACAATTATCATAAAAAACCTACAACTTCATTTTATTTGAGCTTCAATCTGAAATTTTACCTAAAACCAACTCTACACTTAACCAATTTTCCTTAAAATTGAGATATAAACTACAAGGTATATTCTCCATCATTTGCAAGAACACCCAATCCAAATAAATCACAAAATTCATAAATTTCAAATATTGAATTCAAAGTTTTAAAACTTTTTAGTGAATGTCAATGGAGAATCCGTTGCTACTGTAATATTAGAAACAATTTTTTGCCATTTTCGTCTATAGTGTGAGAGAAGTAGCAATTTTGGCTGATAAGTATTAAGGAGAGAGAATGGAATGTAAAATCGTTTGAAAATAGATGAAATTCGAATTTGTTAGGAGGGGGTTGGTGAAGGAAAGAGATTGGGATGCTTAAGTTAAGATATCTTTTTTTTTTTTTATGGTTTCGTACATAAATAGTAAATATGAATATAAAATGTAATTAATTACGAATCTAAATAAAAATGGTAAATAAATTTCTATTATAATATAGCTAGATAGATTTGCCAAAACCTTAATATTGAGGGGAATATGAACCTAAACTTTGCACCTAGCAAGCTTCTTGATTGGTGCTACTAGGCCGCAAAGTTGCTTATGGAATCTGGGCTTTGTTTCTTTGTTTTGAAGCACTCAATAACCGAAACACCAAAAGAAAAATTAAGTCTCTTGCTGGATGGACACAGCAGAATCCCCATTATAATTTTGATTTGATTAAGAAAATATCAGCATTTTTAGTACATCGTCAGATTCTTCTTCTTCTGGTGATCACTATGTTAATATACAACATGTCATGGTAATTATTAGAATTTGACCAAAAATCCTAAAGATCATTATAACTTGTTATTAAGAAAATCTTGTCCAATATAAAATAAGAAATCATGGCAATCGCCAGGAACGAACTTCCCAAAAATCTTGCCGGATGCTATTTTAAAAAAAATATCTCACATAGTAAATCTTGTCAAATATCATTGAAACGCTAGTCAAGTACCTCAGCGTCTAAATATGGAGGCAACATGTTTACTTATTTTGCATGACTTTTACAATTTGTTGGGCGTTTTAATCTATTTCTTCCCATTGTTTCAGCTCATGGACCATTTTCACAACGTAAGAGTTTTTTCTCACATAAGGTGGAGGCGGTTAACGTTCCTATTCAATTGTTTTCCTACACTTAAAAGAGGATAAAGTAAAATTTATTCTTTTTTAAATTCAGCCCCTCTTCTGGCATCTTTTCAACCACCAAAACTACATACAAAATGGACGGTATATCCATACCAATGATATCATATGTTCGTTTGGATAATTGATTATTGGTTCACTAATATGGCATGTGTTCAGGTATATGTCACTGTCCTAGTAAATAGTGTGCAAGACTAGGCGTTTAGCACATTTAATTATTAGCCTGAGTTGTGAATTACGGATGATTTCACACAAGCAGTGTTTCCCTATTTTCACTAACTTGTAATACAATTTGAGTTTGAGACTACTGGTTCTAAGGCCTTACGTTACGTTTCAAACTAATATTTACTTTGTATTATTTTTAGACAGTGCCAGTATACTTTATGTGTAAGCTTTTAGAAAAAAAACATTATTATAATAAAATTTGCAAAGCAATGTCCGCTGACCAATTAGTTGGATTATTAGCTTAACAATACAGTCTATTTCAACGGAAAGAGAATGACTAAAATACTCAAACCTATAAGCAATTCGCATGGATACACTTTGTTGCAACACAGTGCTACAAAACTTTCCACACAAGGGAAGCGACCAGGAAACTTTGTTTCTAGAATGCTGATTACATCGGAAACGATGTTAAATAAATTGAACTTAATTCTTGCTAGCCGCTCAATTCCGAGGAATAAAGGCTTCAAAAGCCTTACAATTCCTTCAATGCCTCAAAGATTGAATCTAACTCAAATTCGATTCCTTATTTCTTTTCTTTCTTTCTTTTTTTGGCGGTAAAAACGGTTTTTTTTATTGATGTTTTCATTTAGATAAACATATTCAAATTTAATCTCTAATATGGTACAACAAACAGTGCAGCGCTTCGCTTCCTACGCGCACTGCTTCTTCTCGAGGGCTCATTAGTCATTACACAACAAATGTGCACCCAAGGGCTTGCTGCCCGTACATAAAAATTTGGAGTTTTAACTTATATACACCAGCATTGTGCACAAGTTTCACACAATCAGTGTAATTTCACATGACACGTCAATTACCATATTCTATAGGTTAGCAATCCATAACTTGCAACTAAAGTCACCTGTAATTGGCTTTTAATTTATCAAAAATGTAAAGAGAAAAAAGTTCACACTTCATTGTATATTACCAATTGAACATAAAATTGTGCACCAATAAACACAAGCACGTCAGAGCGTCAAACCAAGATCAAATTCCCAGCAAGCCCTAGTATTCTACCTACTAATATGTGCCGAAGAGTACCAATTTTTCCATTTGAACAAATAAACAAAAGCACTTTATAGCAGTACACAGTACACACTAGTATACAGTACAATAACATCCCAATTGAACTGCTAAGGCTATTATCGTCCCTACAATATGAAATGTTGTATTTCGTCTGTGACAACCAATAGTATACGGTTTTACCAGATCAAAATCTCCACAAGTTTATCCAAGTAATTTCCCAATAATTTCCTTATTGGGTAAGAAAGACATGAAACTAAAAAACCCAGTCCCTTACTTCTCCCATAACCCTTTGGCACAAGATAGCAGCATCACTCTTACCAAAAAGAGAAAGAAAAGAGACCAAGTCCAAAAACGTGCCAGTTCCCGTAAAAATCTATGTACGTTGACAGAGAATTACAGAAACCAGACAGAGGATATATGGAAATAGTATGGAAAAACTAACTGCCCAAAAAAAAACATACCAATGAGATTGGGGTTGTATTGGCATTTCCAATATCTATCTGAAATAAGGCACAAAAATTCATTTGAGTTGAGAACACCAACCGAAGTAACCAAATAATATGAAATAATACATTGTATACTAATTTGTAACAGTATACAATTCTTGCATTATTAATCTCTACATTACTAATCCTTCATTATATTCCCTGCATTACTAATCACGGCGCTTATCTCTAAACCAAACGACCCCTTAATAGCTTTCTTTATTATTTGATATATTAAAGAGCCACCTCGTTTCAACCTTAAACTTTTAGGTGTGCTATTTTTTAAATCACATAGGAAGGGGAACATGAAGCTCGGCCTTCTATTCTAATTAAAAGAGCACACAGTCATCTTTTAACATTCAACAAGCAAGAAATTAAACGGAGATACTATTTATAACACATCATAATCCCCAATTACAAGAAAGCAAACTATAAAAACAAAACGAATAATAAATGTAAAGTAAGAAGAGCAGACTCCCTCTGCACATTAACAAGAAGAATGAGAAGATCTAAAACAAGGAAGTTGAACCATGTTTCGTAGAAATCTTTTCTAAGTTCACTTAATCAGTGCAACTTATTAAAAACAATCAGCCTGGAGGTACTTGATGCAGCCTTCTTACCTAATTATTCATCAGTCACATTATCCCTTCTCTAAAACCATGCATAATACAATATTAAAGGACTTCTAACAGCGATCAAATCTGCTGAGACGTTATTTTCCCTGGTTATTTCATACTTTGTTCACCACAACAATAGCAACCAAAAGCAAGTCAACTAATTCCCAAAATAGATATGAGCATACACGGAGCCACTCTTGTCATTTCTGAGTATCATCTCCACCCCAAATTTCACTCAGATTTCCTATTTAAGGAAGCATCTGTATTCCGCTTCAATATAAGAGTTTAAAAAATGATTTAATTGAGTAATAAATTGTCATCGATGGCTGCAAATTGACAAAAAATGATGTGTGATGATGCAACTGCGACTATTTTACGAATTACCATGGATTTATTGGAAAAAGCATCAAGGTAGAAAACTTTCAAACTCAAATCCAAATCCTTTGAGCACAAAGACTCGAGAAAACAAAGTTACATGATACCCTCTCTAGTGCCTAAATCTAAGGGTGGAAAACATACGACCCGCCCAACCCGTCCAGAATTTAACGGGTTGGGTATGAGATGTATTAGTGATGGGCAATTTAGTCATAGCCCAACTTAACCCGTCCCAACAGAGTATCCCAAATCACCCCATATTTTCACCCAAATGAATCGCTCAAAACAGACTTCATCTTTGCCCAAGTTCTAATGAAACCTGCCCAAGTCCTTCAACCTTCAAATGTAATACCCCTAACTAATGGAGGGCATACTAGTGATTAGCTAAAAAACCATCAGACTTCAAAACTAAAAAAAAGAAAGAAGAGAGAGTTGGGTGGAAGCTTTGATTGTAAAAGCTTCAAAACAACCCAAAAAAAAACAAGAAATCAACAAGAACTTTTGCAGTTTTAGCAACCTGGTGCCACAAGAAAGCCACTCCCAGTCACAATTAATTCAGAAATTCAAGGTATTTTTTTTCACCTATATGATAATATATAGTTTTAATGGTTTGAGTTAAATAGTGATATTGGCCAACTGTGAATAGAAACAAGAGAAGGGAGTTGGAGCGTTTTCAGTATGGCACATTCATAGATTGCTATTGGAAGCTTCTGTTAATTTTATATAGCAACATGTGAAGGGGTTGAGTGTTTGTAAAGCACTTCACAGCAAGTACTACTTTTGTTGTCCAAACAAGTCAAATTCCCTTGTTTTTGGAGATTTCATAACAATTTAAAAATATAAGAACAGACAAAGAAACGAGATTCATCTTCCTTTTCATTTAGATACTAGTAAACCAAGGAATAGGGAGTTGATGGTTATATCCCAAGGAATGGGTAGACTATATTAGTTACGAATTAGTCCAAATAAGGGAATTGACACGAGATTGATATGATGTGATTTCAGATTGATTGAAGGGAACATTGGGATTGCTCGTGGAGGATACAGTTGAGTTACACGCATCTGTACGGTGAGTAGTGACCTTACTGTAACTTGTGTTTTTATAACTTGAATGATTTACACATGATTTTAAAAAAGAGTGTGTTACCGAATGATTGGAATCTTGCATGCGGACAAGACCTTTGCATGATATGATATCGAAACGTTTACTTGAGATGTTTACAGTTATTTTAAATATTCTCACTATTAGTAGACATGTTTTACCGTTGCTTAAAAAGTGATTATCGTTACCGTAATGATTTTTACAGTTACTTAATACCTAGAAAATTGCTTTTGCTAGAGTTTGATATATAGTGTGCTTGATAAGAACCAAAATGCCCTATACTATCTTGATAATGTTTAATACAAAAATATTTTACTATATATAAAGACAAGTTTGGGGAAAGACTTTGCCAGATCCCATAGCTATCGGCCGGTATGTTAGACCTAGTGCACCTAGTATTTCTGGATTACTATTACAAACCTTCGCAAGTGGATACAAAAATATTTTACTATATATAAAGACAAGTTTGGGGAAAGACTTTGCCAGATCCCATAGCTATCGGCCGGTATGTTAGACCTAGTGCACCTAGTATTTCTGGATTACTATTACAAACCTTCGCAAGTGGGAAGATAGAACTAGCATACCATTATCGACTTTCATTGAGTATGGACAACTGTTATATTTGACTTCTTGGCGAAGGAGTCCACGGTTATCACCAAAGCCTTTACTTTATACTTAATTTTAATATTTAATCATCTAATTGATATTTTTGTGAACTTGTATTGTTCACACTCTTTGGCTCTACTTATAAATTATCCAGTAATAGATCTTTCACAATCAAATCTACCTATACAGTCCACCCTATGCCTTGACACAATGTATCCCAGGTTGGCTACCTTTCCCTCGTGAAATCTTAGGAGACTCTGCAGCCTATAGGCATTCAGAAGATTTCCAATTCACCCGCTTGGACCTAAAAACAACTTACTAAAGGTCTTCCAATTCTGCTTTTCTTGGATCTTATTGTGGGGTATCCACCTTTTTCGCTATTCTTTCTTTTATCTTCCTAATTCTTCGGGCTATCTCTCAAGGTACGAAGCCACACCAATTAGTCATTCATGGAAAGCTCCCAAGCATATGTATTTGACATGACAATTTACAGAATTTATGGAAAAGGGCCAAAACTGCCCCTAATCTATTGGACAAGGTCTAAAATGCCCTCCATTCACCTATTAGACTCTCAAAATATCCTCACTTTTATCTTCTAGTTCAGATAGAACCCAAGATAAGTAAAAAAAGGTCCAAATATGCCCTTCGCACTAACAGTGGAAGCCATGTGGAGTATATTTAGACCTTTTAGTTGCTTAGAGGTATATATTTGGACCATCTCAATTGTTTAGGGATATGCTTGAAATTATTACATGTGTAGCTCAGTACGTTTTATCTTTCCGATAAAGATGCATGTGTATGCATAGTCTAGATATCTCCTTTGACGAGAAAACAAAGAGAACTAAATTAAAATATTATTCAAGAAAATAAAACACATGAAGCTAATAAAACAAAGATTAATTTTATTTGAAGATTGGAAAAAACTATTTCTGACAATTCAGTCGTTGTGTAAGCAAATGACTAGTACTAGAAATACTCATACCAGAGAGAGAAATAATAAACAAGGGGAAGCGATAAATTTAGTTAGAAGGCAACAAAACTTACCAACATGTGATAACTTTGGACTGTGCTTTAGCTCTTTTAGACTTATAGTTAATTAAAACCATTTTGGTCGATGATTTTATCCCAGATTGTATTACTTTAATCTCGTCAGAGACAATTCACTTCTACAGAGATATGATATACTAATATTATCTTGTTAGCCTATACTTCTTTATATTTCTCAATAGTTGTCTTATGCAAAGTGAGTAAAGTATACATATTCAGCAACAAATATAATAATTTGAAGCATACCCTTAAACAATTGAAATCCAAATATACCCTAAGCAATTACAAAGGTCCAAATATATCCCACCATGGCTTCCGCTGCAAGTGCAAGGGGGCATATTTGGAACTTTTTAATTGTACAGGGATATATTTATACCAAAAAGATAACAGTGAGAGTATTTGCAGCCCAATAGGTGAACAGAGGGCATTTTTAGACCTTATCCAATAGATTAGGTGCAGTTTTGGCCCTTCTCCGTAGAATTTATACTTGTGATAGGGGTAAGATAATGCTCGTTTAATACTAAATTATTATTTGAATCTGTTTACATGATTATTTATGACATGACTTATACCGTTACTGTATCCGAGAAAGGGCATTGACAATACTTTTAAAATTGTAAACAGACATGTTTTTAGGCTTGTCACCATTAAAAATGGTTGTGGTTAAGCATTATTACTCACTAAGCTTGCGACTCACTCCTAGCTAATGTTTTTTTTCATAGACAACAGTTGACATAAATGAGGATTTAGCAAGCTAGAACGCACGAGTTGACAGTTCTAATGAGCCCCACATTGGTTCGCGTGAGCAAAGAGTTTTTTATTATATTTTTTATTTTATTTTTATTTTTGAGAATGGTAACATGAGCATAGAGTTTTATTTGTTATCTTCCTATTTTTTAAAATTTTAGAGTCACTCCGTTAGTCAATTTTATATGCAGTTTGTGTTGTTCATTTGTTTAGTTAGTTCATGCGTATCTTGGCTTTTATGAACCTATGATTTCGTGTTAGACTTTCTTACCGTATCTTGGAGATGAACAATCATGTTGTGTTGCAAACAAATGGTGGCTATGGATTGTTTTTGTTGGGTATTGGTTGTGCTGATGATTTGTGAGGCTGGAAAATTTTTGGATAGTCCTAAAAATATGAGAGATTATGTCCAATTTTCTGTAAGATACCAGGGCTTGTTTGGGGCGCTAGCTCCTAGGCGCTGGTCACAGCCCTAAAATGGGCCATGACATAGACCTCCATTTCTCTCAACCTCACTGTTGCACTCACTCCTCCCATCGCAGGTGGCGCCGCATAGCGCGCGCTCTCTCTCTCTCTCTCTGCCTTTTTCTTAATAAGAGTGGTATCCTAGCTAGCTTGTGTGCATCTCGCCTATTCTACCGATTACCTACGACCTCCCATCAGCATAATTGAATCCATTAGTAATGCCATATTTGATAACAGAGTTGGGTTGGTTCACATTCCTTCCATAGACAGAAAGTATACCAGTCAGTTTTAGATGGAAAAAGTAATCTAGAACTACATGTGAATTGTAGAAAGATGGGGGACTGTTAGTGCTCGGCCTCAAAGTATAGGGATTATTTTGAGTGGAAGTTCACATTTAGAGGACTATTTTGGGCCTTTTCTCCATTTTGCATGTGAGAAGAGCGCGTGAGAACAAAACAAAACAGCTCAAAACACTGTATTTTTGCCATATAGCTTTCCTTTTTATAAAGGTGTTTTCCTACATTTTTAATTTTCTTTTTACGTTTTCTTATTCTTTTCCTTTTCTTTTCGTTTTCTCTCCTTCTCACCACCATTCTCAATGCCAGAAACCTAGGCCGGAGGAAACTTTTCCGGCAATCTTCAAAACATAACATATATATCTTTGAGTTCACTCTCCCATAAGCTTTTCTTCGAAGTTCAAATTCAACCATTTTCTTCTTGATTATTGTTCCCTCTCAATAACCAAAATCCCAAATCCATTTACAAAGAGATGCCATCAATACCCGAAGACCCATTTCTAGCTCCAAACCAGATCGATTATGTATGCTCCCTCAAAATCCACAAATATGGGAAATAAGAAAAAAACAGAGGCCACTTTTTGGATGGCAAAGGAAGTAGATCTCTCTCGAAAAAATGGTGAGAATGGGGAGGAAGAATCAGAGGGGTTAATGGTGGTGAGAAACGGGGTTACGAACAGGGTTTTTTTCTTTCTTTTCATCTTTATTTCTTTCTTTTATAAGGTCAAAACAATAAAAAGGAGTAGGATGATGGAAAAGATGGAATGGAAGAGGGATGGGTTGACTGTGAAATGGGTTTATCGGGAAAGGGACGGGGGTGTGCTATAAACAAATACATTTTTTTTTCTTCTTGTTTTTTTCCTTTTTTTGAGTAATACCTTTTTTTAGTATTTTTACATGGGTCGGTGTGTGGTCATGACTTGCCAAGTTTATAGTGGTGTTTGCTGCGTAAGAGGTACTAACACATATTGGAACTACTTCAGGGGGCGCTAGAACCCCCCGCAAACTTACAGTGTTTTCTTGAAAATCACGGACTAAAACATAGTACAAACTAACAAGTATCGCCTACATAGATCTCTTCTTCCATTGCTCCATAGTTTTCGCTAGGTCTGCATGGATTCCTATGGTGTTTTGAGACAACTCCCTTCCATGTAATTTTAGATCTACCCCATCTCCTTTTAACATCATCACTCTATGCCATGCCTTAGGATTTTTTTTATTTTTTAATGTTTTTTATAAATATTATTCCACAGGTTTTCTCCCAAAAACCACTTTTCAAAGTCAGGCACTCTCAGCATAAAGAGTTTAGCATGGCTTTAATCACAGTGATGGTAGCTACTGCCTTTTTCTTGTTACTTTCTTGGGGGGAGAAAGGGCATGCAATACAGGCTAATGTGACTGTAGCAAAAGATGGCAATGGAGACTTCAACACTATCATGGCTGCCATCTTGGCCGCCCCAAACTACAGTACAGAGAGATATTACATAAAGGCGAATGAAGGAGAATATGATGAGTATGTAGTCATTGAGAAACGAAAAGAAAATATAGCCCTAATTGGTGATGGGATAGAGAAGACCATCATATCCGGAAACAAGAGTCACGGTGATGGATTTAAAACCTGGGATACTGCAACAGTATGTAAGTTGTCTACTCTAGACTGAACTACTTATATTACGATTATTATCTGGTCGTAGAATAAACTGTAAATTTCATAGATCTAATATCTGTATTTCTTTTAATGTTCAAGCAGTGAATGCCAAAGGTTTCATGGCACAAGGTCTGACCATCAGAAATTCAGCGGTGCCAGAGAAGGAACAGGCAGTTGCACTAAAGGTTAATGGGGATCAATGTAGCTTCTATCAATGCCGGTTTGAGGGCTATCAAGACACATTAAACACACACTTTGGCCATCAGTTTTATCGGGATTGCGAGATTGTTGGAACCATTGATTTCATATTTGGAGATGCATTGGCTGTCTTTCAAAACTGCAACATCACTGTACGCAAGCCGCTTGACAAGCAGTATAACACAATAACGGCACAAGGTAGGACACTAGAGACAAGACCAACGGGTATAGTCCTGCAAAATTGCACAATACAAGCTGCACCAGATTTGCAGCAAGAGGAGAGAATAGTCAAAACTTACATGGGAAGGCCATGGGGCAATTTCTCTCGTACAGTCGTCATGCAAACCTTCCTTGGTGATCTTATTGATCCTAAAGGCTGGGTCCAATTTGATGATCAGCCACTCATCAGACCATTCTATCTAGAATTTAGAAACAGAGGACCAGGATCTACTACATCAGGGAGGGTTAAGTGGGCAAAGGTGACTGACAACTCCACAATAGCATCGACCTATACAGTCAGACAATTTATCCAGGGACAAAAATGGATTCCCTCATCTATTCCCTACTTTTTAGGTTTACTATAAATGTACATCTACTCTCAATGCAGTAGTGGAAATTTCTATGTAAAAAGAGATACTACTGTGGCCTTAAAATGAAACTTATAATACATTAAGGGTGTTAGGAAAATGTTTTCCATGAAAAATGAGTGGTTTTATCGCTTATTTTCCCTTGTTTGGTTGGTGAGTGAAAAAAAATTTCAAAAAATATTTTCTAGTTTGGTTAGAGAGTATAAATATTTTTAGGAAAATAATTTTTTATGCTACTCTCATCAACTCACCTTCCCCAAAATCCTCATGTTTCTTATACTTCGTAACCCCCCCCCCCCCTCAATTCCCCCTTCGGGGATCTATTTTCTTCAAGAATTTAATTATTCTTTTCAAAACTCACATAAACCCAAAGGAACTAATGTGCTACTTTACTTTATTTTACACAAGAACAACGTTGAAATTTGAGCTCGATAACTATAAAGAAAATACTTTTTTTTTGTTGGAAAACAAAATATCCTTTCTACAACATGAAAAGAAATTACTCATTTTGTTGAATGAAAGAAAATACTTTTTTTTTTTGATTTGCACCGGGTGTCCGAGTCTCTAAGAGCCCCGACTAATCTCGGGGGTGCACAGGCCCTCGGCAAGGAGTTTCCCGCAAGTGCACCACGGTTAATTCAGGTTTTACCCAGTCCGATGGCCCTCAGAAATTGTTTGCACCCAGTGGGTTTCGAACTTGAGACCTTGAAAGAAAATACTAAGTTTGTTGAAATGAAAGGAAAAAAAAATTCTACATCATGAAAAGAAAGTATCCATTTTGTTGAAATGAAAGAAAATACTTTTTCTACATCATGAAAAGAAAGTACTCGTTTTGTTAAAATAAAAGAAAATATTTTTTCTACATCAGGAAAAAAAATACTAGTTTGTTGAAATGAAAGAAAATACTTTATCTATATCATTAAAAGAATATCCTCATTTGTTAAAATAAAAAAAAGTACTCTATTTCCAACATGAAAAGAAAGTACTCTTAATAATATTTCTATTTAGGGTGGGTGGTGGGCGACGTTGGGGTGGGATGGATGGGGTGGGTGGGGGTGGGTTGGTGGGGATGGGAAATATGGAGGAGAAGGTTGAAAAAGAATTTAGAAAAATGTTTTCCCTTCTTTTGATAGGGAAAACATTTCCTTCAATTGGAGGAAACTGAGTTCATTTCTCATGTTTTCCAAAACATTTAAAATAGCCAACCAAACATCCATACCAAACACACCCTAAGTGTACAAGCTAAATTAGTTCAGGGCCTTCAGTGAATAACACACAAGATCGACAAAATCTCCAATGCTTTAATAGGGAAATGAAGAGCAAAACACATGTTTCATCAAAGTAGTGCAGCAATTTAAGAGTACTTTCAACGATAAATTCAAACAATTAATGACAACATTTATGTTGCTTCTCAATCAATTATCTCAAATGATTTAACTATCAAAGTTTATAGACAAACGGAGATCATATCAGAAAAAACAGAGACAGAACATGCAGCTGAGAACAATACAGAACTGCAGAGAATCAGAGATAGGGCATACTGACAGACTAAGAAGAGAGACTCAGATGCATGAAGCGGCAGCAATCCAGTCACATACCCAAAGTTAGAGATTGAAAGGAGGAGCAGAACAAAGAACACAATCCACATGAGAAAAGCAACAGAAAAGCACTGACACAATATATCCGTGATAGAGAATAAATTAAGCAGACTCCAAAAACAGAGTCTGAGAAAGAGGAAGATAAAGAAGCAAAAAGAAAGACAGTTAGATACACATAACAGAGAGGAAGAACACCTGGCCATGTTATTAAAGATAGTCAGGATGTGTGACTATTGAATTCTAATTTGAGAAACTCTTTCTTTCTTCTTTCTTGTTTTTGTTCCTTTTGTATACTGCTTGCTAACTAGAGCTCTTCATCCTGGCCTCCCTCTGCACCTTACTCGAAGAATTGCAAGCTTTCTAACAGTGTTGTCAAAGGCGCTCTTAAGCCCTGAAGCGAGGCTCAAAACATGTTGAGCGCTTCGCCTTGCTTTGTGGGTGCTTTAGTGTCGCATCAAGGCTCTAAGGCACACTTTTCCTTGCCAATGAGTGTAATCCTGAAAAGGCAACATTAAACAATTGATATTTCGCTTTACCGTTATTTTTTTTCAATTTTTTTGTCCATATATTTGTTATTCATCCTTAAAATTATTAGTATTGGACTACATATACATATTTTAACTTTTTCTCCAGTTGCACCTTTTTTCATTAACGCCCACGCTTTAGTTGCGCTTAAAGCCCCAGCGAACCTTAGAGCTTTTCTGCGCTTTTCGCCTTTGATAACACTGCTTCCTAAAATCAAATTGAACTGACCACCTACATGCCCTGATTCACTCCATTCCTTAAAGTGAAAAACCCCTTCTCGAAACGTGAGTATCTTTACCACCATCTTATTAAAAAAAAAGGGCGACTACACTGCATTACAGAATCTCTATTCTAATAGGATAGAACTGTTCAAGAGTGGAAAACAGTAAACTGAATCCAAGATCAACTCCTTGAGTAGAATCGTTTTACTTATTAGAAATTAGAAGTATAATTCTGAGACAGCTAACAAATAAAAGGACTGTAAGGTCAAAGGTTAGAAAACATGTTGCATTTTGAAAAGAAAAAGGAGGTGATTTTGCTGTTTAATTAGGTCAGGATCCAATAGGTGGCAAATGATAACAGACAAAAAAATAAATGAATAAAAGGAGAAATCTTTTGTACAAATTCTCAGTCTAAACAGTTTCTGAGACACTCAACTTCGTTTAACCTGTTGCGAGTAGAACCACTTGGAGAAACCAACAGTGGCAATCAAGCAGGATGGTGATTTAAAATTCCATGACAAGGTTTAGTTTGCCTTTTTTAATATTGGCTAATGATCTCTTCCTATTTGCACGTCAGCGTGCATTTGTCTAATGATTGGCATTAAATTGGCTATGCAGGATATTTTGCGGGAAGAAGACTAAGAATTATGTGTTTACACATGGTCTATGCTGACGAGAGTCCTAGTTTTCATGATACCAGCAACATCAATCTGCTGTACACAAATCATTGTACTGGTTTTTGAGGCACACTCGGGGCTAAGTATAAATCTGTCCAAAAACCTATCCTATAAATGAGGTGTCAAATATTTGTATGACTTCTAACCAAACTGCCTTACTTCAATCCTTGGCTTAATCTTCTTACTTTATGTCTAAATAACTCAAAAAGTACCACACCTCCACATGTTCAAAAGAATGAATCAGAAATAAATGTGGAAAGTTTTTTTTAAAAAATAGTTGCAATATAAATAGCTTGAATATCCAACCACCCGATATACATTATGCTGAACAAACCCAAGAATTCACAAGTATATGTACAATGAACTAAGGAAGTCAAAGGATGTTTTTTTTTGTTGTTTGATAAACCAAGATTTTATTAGAACTGGTACCAAGATGGTACAAAAACAAGTAAGGTGCTAGCTTAGGACAACTCAAGACTTAAAACGTGCACGAGAAGTGTCCACAAATTGAGGTGTTAGGTTCATAAAATTTTTGTCGCCAAATAATCATCCTAGAAGAGTTTAAACCTGGTTCAATTTACATCGAAGTAAATCTCAAGACGAATACCATTTTCTTCTGTTCTAACACCCGATACGAGATGATGTAAAATCTAACTGCATTTAAATTAGGAGATTACACGACGAATTTTTCCTGTTTTTCTTTCACTTCCAATTAGCAACAATAAGTTTAACCATTCTTCCTAGACGCCTCTGGTTTGAAGGTTTCAGATAATAGGTAGAAGACAGCAATGGGGCAGGCAATGTGTTAAATCAGGGGTAGTTTAGTCTTTGTAAATATTTAATCTAGGTACAGCTAAAACCTGTATTAGTTATTCCATCTTGCATCAGATATTATACTGAGATTGATGTATAAAATAATACATGGATTAAATATGCTGAATTTGAAAACCACAACCAAACGCTGTATAACTTAATACATAGTTTCACACAAGGATTATTATCCTTATACAGGCTACCAAACGACCCCTTAATGCTTAAATTGTCAAGTGGCTAGACAGCTTTGTAGTATGTTTCGGATTTTTTATACTGGGCTATGCCAAATCAGTGAAGGAGCTACTGTGGTATTGGGTTGTCAGGGTATTGAACTAAGTACACAGGAAGCTACTGATGACGACTCATGCTTGTATTTTTAGGTTCCTTGGCTTGACAGCATTCCATGATGTTCTGAGGGCAAAACTGAACCTATCCAATCCATAAACTCAGACACAACTTTGTAGCTCGACTTTTTGGTGCAATATTATACATGTAGATGATCTAGATACCTCGTTAACTTAAACACAAAACTTTGTAGCTTGACTTTTTGGTGCAATATTCTACATGTAGATGATCTAGATACCTCGTTAGAATATCTCGATTCCCAGCAATATAAAGGAAATCTACGTTTTTACATACTATATAGCACCTTCTTGGTTCCCTTTTACTATTATTATTGTTGTTGTTGTTGCTGCTGCTGCTGCTTTTGGGAACAAAGGTAAAAATTTGAAATTTATTTATAGGAATAAAAACTGGAATGCTCCAAATAAACAAGTTTTCAGAATATGATATCTTAATATAACAAGGTTATCACTCATGCTCTGGCAGATAGAATAACCCTAACCTAGAAAACAGTAAATTTGTACACCTTATAGACAGCACGTAGCTCATATGTTCAAAGTTCAAACACAGCAATCATCCACGTTCACATAAAAAACTTCAGGGAGAAAGGACAACCCACCTGTTAGCTTAGGTTGTTGCCTTCCTGTAGCAGAGACCATTTCATATGTCTCGTCAAATGTCGGCGAGCAGTATGGCCAAAACACTGTAGGTACCACAGGTAAGCTGTAAACCAATGCAATCATCAACACGAATTCATGCAAAAATAGAGAAGTTTACTAGTTATCTCGTCAACAACAGTGCTTGAATAAAGAATATACAGTCATCCAAGTTCAGATCTAAAAGCTTCAGGGAGAAAGGACAACCCACCTGTCAGCTTACATTGTTGCAATTCTGTAGCAGAGACCATTTCATATGTCTCGTCAAACGTCGGCTAGCAGTGTGGCAAAATCATTGTAGGTACCACAGGTAAGCTGTAAACAAATGCAATCATCAACATGAATTGATGCAAAAACAGAGAAAAGTTTAGAGTAGTTGATACAGGGAAGATGTTTCATCAGTTGACTGTGTGTTTATTTGGTCACTGAATCAATTAGAAAGTTGAAACATGATGGGTTTGGTAGATATATTCAGAAAAGAGAAAACAGTTTGGCTGAAATTGAGGAAGTAAAATAGAAGGAAAAAGAAAAGAGAACCAAAAACTGGTCTTGTTCACTACCAGAGAAGGAAAAAAAATAGAGAGAACGAAGGTCATGGGCAGCATTTCAGTCTCATGCCTATGACCTGTTGATAGTGCCTCATGGCACTGCAATCCTCTCAACGCCAAGTGCCATGAGCAGCCCCCTGGCCTTGGTCGTGCCAACTGACAAACATGTATGTGTCTATATCACCCACCACTTGCGAACATTGACATCCACACAGGCGGTGCCCATACTGCCAGCCAGCAAACGGAGTCACCTGCTCCTTGCACGCACGCCAAGTATTGGCCCACAAGCCACCTTGTAGGAGCACGCATGACATGAGCCCTGCAGCAAGGCCATGGTCCCTCCAAGTGCTGCTAGGGACCAACTTGCCCCGTTTGAGACTCTGACTTGCCATGATGCTGTTTAAGTTACTTGGAGTTTATGATGAAGGTCTAAGGTCCATTTTTGTCTGTAAGTAGCTCGTTTTTGCCATTGTGTTAAGGTAACAACTTTTTGGAGGTACAATGATGGCAGTGCTAGGCTATGGAAGCAGCTTATAGATGCAAAATATGGACAAAGAGACAGCTGGGCTCCTTGTTTAGTCCAATCCTCTTCTAGAGGCGGAATTTGGAGTACTATTAGCAGTCTGTGGGATGAACATAGATAATTTGTAAAGCTGAAACTGAGGGATGGTAAGAAAATTCATTTCTGGTCTGATGTATGGCTAAGGAATGATTGTCAGAGAGAAAAGTTCCCAGTTCTATATAGCTGTTCAACAAATAGAAAGGGGAAGATAGCAGACTTATATTCAAGTAATGGTTGGCAGTTGATTTTCAGAAGAGGTCTCAATGATTGGGAGATAGAGGAGTTTACTCAGTTGATGCAACTCCTTAGCACTGTCAGACTGGAAGAAAATAGGAGAGATTCAATGATTTGGGCAGCATGTAAAGATGGAAAGTTCACAGTCAGAGGATGCTACAATTTATTACTGAAACAACAAGGATTATATGAGACAGAATGGCCATGGAAAGCTATACGGAGGACAAAGGCACCTGTTAAAGTTGCTTGTTTTGGATAGATTGCAGCAAAGGGAGCATGTCTTACTCGGGAGAATCTGCAAAAAAGAGGTTTTTCTCTAAGCAACAGATCTTATATGTGAGAGAAGAAATAGAGACAGTCAGTCATTTCTTTATTCATTGCAGGGTGACAAAACAGTGTTGGGAGCTCTTATTAAACATGTACAGCGTTAAGTGGGTAATGCCTAACAGTATAAAGAGCTTGTTGGAACAATGGCATCATCAGAAAATGGCAAAAAGGAAACAAACAGTATGGAGGACAATTCCTTTTTTTTCGTGGACAATATGGTGGGAAAGAAATAGTAGTGTTTGTTTTGAAAGGAGAAGACATGTTTTAAAATTATAAATAGCTGTCTTTTGAACTTGTATTTTTGGTGTAATAGATGTTGGACTGATGTAACTTGTACCATCTTGGTAGCTTTTTAATAAAATCTTACCTTATCAACAAAAAAACAAAAAAAAACTTTTTTGTTTGCTACTCTTAAGTTATTTTTCTTTTTTAAGACATATGAGAAAGGTTGAGTAGTCAACGTCAACAAGCAAACAATAGCCTTTCATATTTGTGGTCCCCTATGCCACATCAACCTTTACATTGCACCATTTTACTCAATCAATGTAGAACTAGTTTTCAATGCAATAAATTCTTATTTCTCAATTTCCCATGGCTCTAACACATTCTGCAGTGTGTGTGATCGCAACCCAACGTGTGGGTAAGCGAAAGGTAACCAAGAGCGCAGTTGTTTTGCCTTGAATCCTGTTTCCAAGCTACTCAAGCAAAACACCGCAATAATATTTATATGAATACAGGATACATTCTCTAGAAGCTTCACCTAAATGGCAGTAATTTCTTACATAATCCACAAAATTGGGCAAAAGCCATTAAAAGGCCACAAAACAATCAAATTATACTTCTAACAGTTATTCCAAAAACATGGGAAGCACATAAGATACTTATACTATTCATGGCTTGCCAAGTTAAGAAAGTTCCAAACCGACCTTTTTTACCGTGCAACAACTACTTGTCAAGTTAAGAAATTGGAACCTTGTTGCCTGTGCTGTTACAAGTATCAAGTACAACTTGATTGCTACAATAAATTTCCCGACCATCATGTGGCAATTTATCAAGTTAACAACTTGATGACTTGCTACTTACAACATATGTGCTGGCCAACTTTGCAACCGCATACATCACTGGCTCACTCAGTCTTTAGCTAATAGACTGCTCGTTCATCATATCATCTAAGAAGCACATACAGCCGAACTTTTATGCTACATATAAGAGGCGATCTTAAGCATGACCTATTAAGCCCTCTATTTTCTAAAAGAATATCAAAACTGGAGATCGTGTAACCCATTTAGGGAAAATCGTGTCAGTTTGTTAGACAATGAAACATTGCTTTGTTCAAAATTTAACGGTTCGCAACCCGGTGGACAAAGCATCACGCATTTACGCAGGGTCCGGGGAAGGGCCGCACCCCTAGGGGTGTGTGATGTAGACAGCCTACCCTAATGCAAGCAATAGTGGTTGCTTCCACGATTCGAACCCATAGGTCACATGAAGACAACTTTACCGTTGCTCCAAGGCTCTCCTCCTTGTTCAAAATTTAGTATTTCCTAAATTTCTACTTTCATTAATGTATTCTAACGTTTCTACCAACACAATAATGCTCCAAAGAGTTATGGAAATAATGTCTCTATCACACAACCTTTACTCCATAAATCCCAAAGTCAAGAGAAAATACTAGTTTCCAACTAGAAGTGCAGCGGTGTTTTTTTTGTTCTTTTTGTTGTGTACTTAATACTCCTTCATTAAAATGATATCTCAATCTTGACATCAAAATAGCATGAATTATTTATTACTGAAGTTGGACTTCATGAAATTGATTTGCTCTTCTTCTCTTTTTTTCATATCCTTTCGGGTCGATAAGTACCCACAGAAAATGCAACTGATATATTGTTACTTGTAAGCAAATATAACATATATAAGACGTTATGTACACATAAATACAGTTTCTTGTCCAAGTAATGCGACATCCCAGCAAATTTCACGAGTTCATATAACATTGCATGTTCCCGCTACTTAAAACCCCATTGAAGTACAGAGAAGCCCTAAAAACATAAGCTTCATCAGATAAAGCCAAGCAATCTCGAACATAATAAAAAGAAAAGAGAAACAGAAACCCAGGAGCTCAGAAGCATCGTCATTGAATTTTGTTTATTACACATGTTATTCTTTGAGATAAGATGGTTAAATTAACTAACCGGGCACTTGTATTGTTATAATAGCCAACAAGATGGTTGTAGAAGATGAGGAACAAGCCACTTTCTAAGTCATCGCAGTAAAAAATTTATAGGTTTAAAGAGTTACTCAGCCCTTTTCTCAAGTAGAGTCCAACTGATTGGAAAAAGAAACTGGTAGCCTCCTATTCCTATATGTACAATGACATTCATTTAAGAAAATAAAAAAGGTCATATCTTTGGATTTCCAAAAGAAGGAAGCATAAGCTTCTCTAGGCTCGACTTCATATTGTGAAATCCACCATATGATTAGCAAACTCAAGCAAACAAGCTCTGCTCTCAATACATCTCTTCATGTATTCCAATAAGTAGTAAAAGCTATACCATCAAGACTCAAAAACTTCTCAGTGCAAAGTAGCTGTAGGACCATAAAAAAGCAGGAGCATGGCCCCATCTGGACAAGCATTTTGAAGCTGAAATCCTTTTATTAGCTAACAACCTATCTAGTGTGCTAGAGTTACTTCAACAAAAGGCGGGGGATGTTTGCGAGAGGAAGACGTTTTAACTCATTTCCTCCGAGAAGTATAGCCTTTACACTTTATTGTTCGTGTTCTTCGGTAGAGCTGGTATGGAAGTGAAAAAAATTTACTTCCTCCTACTTGTCAAACTTAAGAGGGATTGAAAAAGTCTTTGGAGAGGGTTCGAGAAGACTTTTGCAGAGTGGCGTATCCCCTCAACTTTCCTTTACCATCTCTCCACTGCCCATATTTTAACTATGCAATAAAGATAATTCATACATCTCCTTTTATCTATGTGACATAATTCATTCATTTACCTTGCCGTAGCCATGCCAAATGGATATAGGAGTATGGGTACATCTTGTAGATTCTTAAAATACATTAAAACTAAGGCAAACTAATAGGTTTAGACTAGGGCGCCAACCCTCACTAGAAGCCAGTTTTCCCACGTCCGGTAGACTAAATAGTAAACAAAAACACAATGCACCATATCGAATACTTCCAGACACCCATAATGGACACGTACCCATAACAAATCCATGTCGTACCACTTTTTTACTTTTTCCTCCTGCTATTATCCTCTTTCAAACCCAAAAAACATAATGTTCTGGAACTTTAGGAAATGACCTAGGTACAGATTGATGGGGAGCAAACGCAATTCACTTATTTAGCCTACGCTCTTAAGCAAAAAATCAAGAGTTTTATATCAAGCTTGATCCTAGTTTGCCCTAAATTCTTTTCAAGTTTCAGTTAGAGGGGGTGAATTGAAGATGATCTGTGTTGCTTGTGGAACCAAAAGAAAAAGGCCCACAACTGATGCGTGATGCAGTAATATTGCATCTAGTAATTTGGTGTGTAAAATCTTCGGCATTGATTAGACATCTCTAAGATGGAAAGAAAAGATAAAACCTTAACTAGGTTAGAAAAATCCTGATTAATACAAACAAGAAATCAATTAGATCCAATACAATTTCTAAATATCGAAAAATTGACCATTACATTTTTCAGAATTCCAAATGAAATTGGAATTACCGCAAAGATACAATTGTGATCACAAAGGGGAAAGGGAGCGCATTGTTGGCCAAAATGGCATCGCTTCGTAGACATTAAATAAATACCCACAAGCACAATGCCTTCATAGTTTTCCATCGTTAATAAGAGGAACGATAGAAATATAATTTGGCTAGAGGAAATTTGAACCAGCCAAACTAATATGTGCTTCATCAGTATCATACTACTATGTGTTTCAACTTGTCTAACTCTAGAATTAGATTAGCAATTGCCACAAATGTTACAAGAATAACAAATATGTCAAAATATGTTGCGCATACATGCGCCCTAGGGCTTGTTACACGCACACAAAGAAATTTATACCCAATAAACACAAGCACTGTTTAAATCCCATGCAAGCGTTACTATTTTACATAGTAGTACGTGCCATAGGGTATCAATTTCCTCCACTTGATGATTAAAGAAGAATAAAATAAAAGTAAAACAAGCGCTTTATAAAGATGATATTCCAACATTGAACTCCTAAGGCTTTTACATTCCTACTAATTAAAATCTCCATATCCTCCTAGTTTCGTCTGGAAACCAGTAATATGCAGTACTAGATTTTTTGGGTCATAATCTCCACAGAATTTATCAAAGTAATTTCCTAATTGGGTAAGAAAGACATTAAACTTAAAAAAAAAACAGATCTAACTTCTTCCTTTAGCATAAAGTAATATCAATCTAGCAAGAAAGAGACCAGCTACAGGTAAACTCAGGTTCCTAAAAAAATTCTATGTACAATAATAGAAAATTTCAGAAATCACATATGTATATAAAGAAAAAAGAACGACCCAAAAGAGAAATTACCAAAATGTAGCAATGAGATTGGAGGTCTGTTGGATTTTTTCCGTAGATGCATTGTATTGATTGGATATTGAAGGCTCCTGAAAGGTAAAATTAGTAAAACTTCCTCTTGACCCTTCATCGCATTTTTAGCAGTAGAATCTATTTTTAGGATGATCTGGCTGAAGCCCCCCTCCCCCACTCCCATTCACCCCAACCCCAGTAGAACCTCTTTTGCGGCAGATCTGCCACCCCACCCCAAAACCCGACCCGGTGCTCCCACTAAGTCCACTTTCTGAGTTCATTGCCATTTTGGTCTGCTAGAGTGGGTTTTGGCCACATCTGTATTATTATACATACCATTTGCTATAATACAGATTGTATATATTTTTCTGTTATTATAAGATGTATTAGATATATTTAAGTTACTGTACAGTAGTAAAAATAGGCGTGAATCAGGGAAGTCCAGCTAATTAGTTGTTGTATTCGAGTTTATTCGACTGTATTCATGGCGTGAAACATGGGATTAAAGCTACACAGATTATTGTATTCGACTGTATTCACGGCATGAAACAGGGAATTACACTGTTTTTAAACGGAAAGTGAATCAATTAACATCATAGACTCCTAATATAACTCAACAAACTCAATTATAACACACAAAATTTGTATTTCCAGTTATAAAAAAAATTCTCAACCGAAAAATACCCCAAAAATATAGCAATCTTCAGAGAAATTATATAATACATCTGAATACATAAATTATATTAATTAAAAAAAATATATGAATACATTCATGGCATATAGCGAGACAGTGAATACAATAAAATACATAGAATACAGCGGGATACATTGAAATACAATTAAAAAAATAGTGAATACAATGAAATATATGAAATACAGCGAGATGCATTGAATTACAATGAAAAAAAAGACAATAAATACAATGAAATACATGAAAATACAGCGTGATACATTGAAAATACATTGAAATATATTAATAGAAATTCAAGTTGCTCAGCCCCAAACTCCGTCGTCTTTGTTAACCCTAATTTCCTGCGAATCCACCGTCGAGCAAAAATCCTGAATCTCACTCTTCCCACGCATCATGTACAGTAGCCGAGCAAAAATCATGGCAAGACGTTATGTATCGTTTTCGAGGATTCGTCTCTCTACCAGCGATGGACTAGTTCTTCAACTTCTGTGCTTTGCATTATCTTTGACTAGTCCCCCCTTTTGTATACGGTCAGATTGATTTGTTTGAACTTGTGGGTTTTTCTGGGTCTCGCTATGTAGAGTCTCTAAGATTGTCTTTTTNGTAGAAGTCTTCTAAGATTGTCTTTTTTCTTTTCCTATCCTATTAAAGTTACAGCCAAAAATAAAAATGGGGGGTTAGAGGAATTTGTTGGGAAGTTGAAGAAGAAACTGTGGGAGGAATTGTGGAGAATTTTGATCTTTCAGAGAAGAAACTTACGAATATAGGTGAGAATTTTGATCTTTCAGAGAATGTCGTGTATCAAATTAGAGAGAGATAGAACGTGGAGTGAGAAGTTTACATCAAATACATTAATTATGTGAGAGAAAAATCTGAAAAAGGAGAGAGAAAGATAATCGTATATAGTGGCTTAGAAGTAGGAGGTACCCAAAATTAGATATTTTGCTATAAACACTAAAAGGTATCTATAGAATATAATTTTTTTAAATGATATTTATTTAAAATAAATAAGGTCTTAACCTTTGCTATAGGAGGTAAAAATTCCATTATAAGCTAAAGAAAAAGCACCACATTAAGTCAAGTGGAATCTTAAAAATAGCCATATTTAATTAATAATTAATTATTGATTATTATTTTTGAATTTAAATATTCATAAAATAAAATCTACGATTTAGTGATGAATACATTTTATTAATATAAAAAAAATCAAATTTTTAGTAAGAAATAGAACTTCTTTTTCCATTTTATCACATATTTCAATACATTATAAATTAGTTAAAAATTAGAAATCTTAGAGAAAAAAGATAATTATTTGAAATTGGTTTGAAAAGCAAACACATTTATTAACAACAAAAATTATTACCCTATTTTATCTTTGCATTTTATTTTAACTCTTATCTTTAAATAAGAAAAACAAAAAGACAAAGAAATAGACCAAAAAGGCAAAAGAAAAAAAGTAAATGAAATAATACCAACTTATGCACGTGCCTTACCCCTATTTCTCCACGAACTCTCAGACACATTTTACAAAAGGGGGATAACACATACACACACATATATATATACATATATACTACACGTCTTAAAGACTTTGTACTACCCAAGTTGGCTAGCTTACAGCATACTTTAATACTAATAGTTTTAACAAAACAAACATATTCCGCCCTATTTGTAGTCAGATTATTTATAACATGAGGGGGCGGTTTGTCTAGGAGTTGGTGTTCCTTTCCATCATTGAGAGCTTCTTTGGCCAGCTTATGGGCTATTTTGTTCCCTTCCCTGAAGTTATAGATTATTGACGGCTGCTTCAACTAGAGCATTAACCACCTGCAAGTACATATAATCATATCATGATAATCACATCCAGAATTTACTAGTTTGATTACCTCTGTTGCGTCTGTTTCAATGATCAATGGAGTGTAACCCTTTGTTAGGGCTATATCGAGACCCTCCTTGAGTGCTTCTAGCTCAGTATGAATAGGTGAGGTTGCCGGGCATTGATGTTGGAAGCCCATGATCCAGTTACCATTATGACTTCTGAATATAACTCCTAAACCCCCTAATTTATCTTTTTCTTTGAATACACCGCCAATATTGAGTTTATAGAAGTTTGGGCAAGGCTTATGCCATGCAATTTTAATTGCATGGGAAGGAACAGTAATTTGTTCCTTTTCAGTGAGTAGCTTATACTCAGTTGCTAGGGCTATGGCGTGATTTGGGTTAAAGTTGTAGCTCGTATTTGAGTGATTGTTGTTGTTTCGGTTAAGCCAGATGCTCCCTAGGACAAATGGGTATACATCATTCCACGTGAGGTAAGCGGAGGGAGTGGTATTTTTCAAATTTCTAATGTTTTGCAGTCAATGAGACATGTTATCATTTGGGGAGGCATTGAAACCCCTTATGTTCCAGTAATTAAGGAATGCTTTGCAGTTGAAAAATATATGCTCAATTGTTTCATATAATTTTTGCATTCTGGACATGTAGGCTCTATATTTATGCCAATATGGTGGAGGTAGGATCTAGTAGGGAGTTTATTGTGAAGGTATTTCCACAAAAAATATTTGATCTTGTTTGGGAACCTCATTTCCCAAATCCAACTAAAGTTTGTTGACATTTGATTGCTGAGTTTGATTAATTTATAACAGCTTTTAGAAAGAAAAAAAATAGATCCCCACTTAGATCCCAAGTCATAGTGTCGCTTAAGCAAATCCTAGGGTGTAATGCTAGGATACAGTTCCTAGTTTGATTGGGAAGATTGACTGTTATTTTCCCTAGCTCCTACTTATTATTTACCCAAATATCTTTGATGGTAAGATTATTGCAAGACTTTGTGAGAGGACCCTCCACAAGATGTCTAAGGTTTGGTGACTTAGGGATCCAGTTTGATTGCCAAATGTTTAAGTTTGAATTTGAGTGGGGAATCCATTTTATACCTTTAATACAAATCTCCCAGCCTTTCACCGCGCTTTTCCATATAAAGGAGGTATTTTTAAGGTTTTTGGTGGAACCATAAATTGATGAAAGGAATTTTGACCAAGGATTGTGTTATGAATAAGTCTCCAAGCGAGGCTTGCCAAGTTTACCAAGTTTTTATGATTTGCTAAGTTAATACCAAGCCCTCCCTTACTCTTATATTTGGTTACAGTGTCCCAGGCTATAAGATGCATTTTTTAGTGGTGTTCTGGTCACGCCCAACTATGCCTTATAAAACGGACTAAGAGGACGTTGCAAATATAATCTGAGTATCTAGCCTAGAGTCGAACCCACAAGGAATTAACCTATCAATTACTCTCGTTAGACTTACAAAATTCTACGTAATCAACTTCCCAAACGTTTTGAATACAATTGAGGATGTTTTTACTAACTAAGACTGACTGTAATTAAGCAAATAAAGACTAACTATGATTAAGTTGTAAACAATTAAGAGAAGGATCTAAGGTTATGATTTCCCCTATTGATGGAATTCCTTCCGGTTGTGTTTCACATCGATTCGCCTAATCGTCTCTATCAATCATGAGCACTCTTATTACCGTAAATCTCTCCCGAGTAATCACGACAATTTACTAGACGCACTCTCCCGAGTTACGCTAGCTGACTTTGTTTATTACAGCTCACTTTAGATTGCACCCAAGGCTTCGTTATCCCTAATCTTGCTTTTAAACCCTCGGTTATTGATCCCTCATATACTTTGGGAGTGGTGTTGTTCATCAATTACCTAAATATGCACTCTCTCCCGAGTTATGCACACTAAATATGCACAGCTAATTGAGGATCCTATCAATTAACTACAACAAGAACGCAGTTGAACAAATAGACAATAAACTGGGCAAACTATATTAACATAACAAGAAGTTCATCCTTCAATAGGTTCCATCAAAACCCTAGATTAAGGAATTAGCTACTCATAACCAAACAAGATAAAACTACTAAATTGTTCATAATGTGCAATTGAAATAATAAAGAGAAGATAGAAAAACTCTAATGGTTGGTTGCTCTTCTCTCACTTGTTCTTGCCTCCACAATAGTCTAAAAACTAGCTTCCCATTTTTGTTGGGTGAGCTTCTTGAGTTTATAAGAGTTTGGAATAAGTTTTTATCGATTTACACTTTGGTCCCAAAAGTTCTGGGCAGCTGCACAGTTCACCTCGGCCGCGGCAAACCGCGGTGAGAGCCTATCATTCTGCCTCGCTTCATTAGCTTACCGCGGTCCAGCCGCGGTCGCGGTGGCTCAAGCCCAGTCCTCTTTTTTTTCGCTTCTTTCCGCTCGGGTGCTTCTTGATTAGCCTTTTTTTCCCACATTGTTGACTCCAAAACACTCCATAGTTCTTCCTAACTTGGATTTATCCCTGCGAAGCAAAAGAACACCAATTAGAGCATTTTGTTATCATTTAGCCTTTCAAACAACAATAAAGCATGGTACATTTAGGGTGTAAATATCGTCTATATAGCCTATTATCAACACCCCACACTTAAATCATTGCTAGTCCTCGAGCAATCCACCACACTCTA